ACAACGACACGAAAGCTCTTCTCGTCCATCTCCATACCCAAAAAATGGCAAATCTAGCTTACCCCCATCAAATACAAAGTACACTAGCCGTGCAGAAAACGAAGTGTCGGGTCATGTGATTTCCGACCGCTCTGACCCGACACTGACCGAAACCGACCCGACACCTAATATTTCAAAACAACCAAATTACGTTGATATCGAATAAATGAATTCGCAAAATAATCTTTTTTTTTTATTCGCTACCAAAAATGGCTATAATATTTTATGCGCATGAAGTTTTTAGCAATATTCGCATTTATCATGGGCGATTATATCCAAGCAATAAGTAGTCATTTAAATTAAATATTTAAAATTCGAATTAGTATATCAGACATAATTACTTAATCGCATTAGAATAATTTTGTTCTATATAGTATTTTATTTAAATGAATAAATATCATCAAATAAAGCCTGAAAATACATCAAGATTTTCGGACTTTAAGTTAGCAACATTAAAATGCAGATTTTAATACTATAATAGTAAGCCTGATATTGTAGCAACAAAGATTCACCACACAACTGCAGAGCTTTTTAATATTGAACAATCTTAAATTTACGAATTTAACTTGTTATATTTAGAATTCGTAATTAAGAGGGCTGACTCAGTAAATGTAACGAGTTAATATTAAGTGTACTTAAGGAAAATATGAAAAACTCGATCATTCAGATAAATCACCAAAGAATCAGAATAAAAAACTAAAAACGTATAACATTTCGTTTGCTTGAATATAAGGCTTACCAGTTTCATTAGGTTTGATAGAAAATACAGTCGTCTCTGGATATAATGAACCTTCCTATAACGAACTCAAAATTTGAAATTCCATAATCGTTTAGTACAAAAAGTGCTACAGACTCTTGAGAAAATGTATTAATTTTTATATCAACTTTCTTCCAGAATCTTCGGCTCATTATAGAAAGAATTGACTATATATTATTATACTCTGAAATTTCCTGTTTCAGATAATGAGTCTATTTAAACAATTACAAGGTTACCAGTGTTCATGAAAAGCGCATCTTCCTTCCACAATTTGCATTTTCTGAGTATTATTGTTATCGCACTATCGTACAATGTAATGCGTTAGAAAAATTAAGATTCATTGATAAATATTTAAAAGAAGATTGGGTGGAAAAGCAAAATTAGAAGACGTAGTAATAGACGCATTTTCCATATTAAGGCGCATCATTTATTTCATGCGCATTCAGACCCAAAACGGTAATTCATGTGATTTATTTCAGGTGTATAATATATAATTCATTCAGCGCGCTTTGAGCGCATAATTCTGAAAAATATACACACATTATACGATACAAAAGCAGGATATAGTGTAAAAATGTTTGGTAATAGAAAGTATTATCAGGGACATAATAAATGTTTTGCAAATAGGATTATATAAAAAAATAACATAATTAGGAAACGTGGTAGAAGAAAAATAGAATTAAAGACGTGGTAGAAAAAAATGAAATTGAAGACGTGATAAAATATTAATGGCTGTATTAGAAGGGAAAATGTTAAATAAAAGAAGAAATTCATGAGCGTGCATCTGTAATTTTACTATTAAACTTGCCTGTTTAAATCATTCTGTTCATAAATAAAATAAATCCATTTGTGTATTTTAACTTTTTCAAGTAAATATTGTCATGGGAAAATTCATGACCTCAAGACCTTGAATAATTAATGCGGAACGATGCACGATTGACCTATGAATCGTTACTACAATGCCCCGGGACCCACGATTTTCGAACGTCGATCATCTGCAAGTAAACATGTTAAAGGCAGGCCCTCTGAATTGAAGCATTAAGGTCAATCTTGTGAAAGCCAAGCCCCCATCGAACCACCTCATTGAGGAAAAAGACACTTACCCGATTCGGTTGACAGCTGTCAAGGTAATATTACCTTGTCGGGTTAAGTGCGTGGCCATGAAAGAAATAATGTGAATGAGTCAATGAGTGAATCAATAGAACCACAGGTAAAGAACGATGACAGTGTAGAAGCCTTCATTTGACTTGCCTTCTTTTTTCCTTCTGTTGAATGCTTCAATAAAATGGCTGTGTGTAAGGAGTAGGGAATTAGACTAGAAAAGGGTTATCTGGCTTGAGTTCAATGGCGGTATAATGAAATGAATGAATGAGAAATTTCGATTTTGTTCTTTTTCTAGCCCTGTAAATTTGTTATAAATAAGAGGTTAAATTCCTCTTGCCAAAGTATGATCTCGAGTGTAATTTGCTCCTACATAATAAATAAAAGGTCCTTTGTGTTAATAAACTATAACGTTCTTTAAGTCTGCCAAATTACCCATTGTGTGCCAAATTGATTTCGTCTCTGAACCGTTGAGTAATCTTAAACGACGCTTTATCTCTGTGTATACGTGGGTTGTTCATTTGACCTACGACAATATTCTCTTTCAAAGCCAGCTTATAAAAGATACATTAGCTTATTACTAGATACAAAATGAGTGATCCAAGTCTTTGCGAAGGTATTTTTTGTTTTAAATAAAATTAATGGCGCGGATCATAATGAAATCGGATTAAAATAAAATTTGAGAAATTGTTTAACCCACTTATATTTGTTTGCTATAAATTCTACCTCTAAAACTGTTCCCTAATCCTAAAAAAAACCAAAAAAAATGTAACCCAAAGTGTTGTACTTTTCAGCAACTTGTCGGTTTTATCCTCTACAATATCTCATTTTAATCTGATTTGATTTTAATCCACAAAAATTAATATAATAAAGAGATACTTAACTTTAATAACATCCTCTACTCAAGTTTCTAAGACTCAATTATGCACCGGATGTCATATCACAAAAGAAATATCAGAATTTATTCGATGTGATAAAAGTGGTTCTGAATATGAGCATAGTACCTGCAATAAATGCTCTGAAAGACGTAAAAACAAAAAGAAAGATGTAAATTTAAGTCCAATATCAGTAAAAAAAGCGAAGCTTTTGAAAACTGGCCTTAGTACAGATGTTTCAGAACATATTTTAAGCAATGTTAATGATGATAACGTTTCAGAAGATCATGAGGAAGTTATCACTGAAGGAACAAATAGTGCTAGCGATATAGAAAATATCTACTATGATAATGATGACAGTGGGCTTCTATATAGTATTGACGAAATTGAAGAATATATTAATGCAAAATTTTATAATTTGGAAAGCAAAAATGATCCTATAAAATTTGCATTGGAAATTGAACTAGACTCCCAACTTGCTGGATACATTACCTTCAATCTTCAATCAGAATCACTTGATTTAGAATCAATCAAGGATAATTTCCGCCAGCTTTCAAAAATCATCATTATTGCAATTGAGTCCGGGTCGAATTATTACTGGAAAATACAAAAAGTGCACCTAAATTACAGTAAGAGAGGTTTACTGGTTGCGCAACAGTTTATCTTGAGTGTGCACAACGGGAAGACCGTCAATTAAAAAAAAATGAAGACCAGCTAGTGAAACGGAAAAGTGAGGCTCGAGCACCAATCGACAGATATGCTTGTGAAGGGAGTATCTCTCTTATAATCGATTCCCAACAACAGCGTGTCCTAATCCAAGGAAAGCACCTAGAAGCACATCCAAATCCAATCTATCGCAAAGTCCAATTTCCTACCGAAGCCAGAGAATGGATTAAATCCAATATGAAATATAACTTGCGAAACCATGAAATTTATAGTCGTCTATGTGATAAAGGATATATCAATCCCCAGGTGCATACTAAAGAACAAGTATACTACTGGGTATCTTTTTTTAATAAAGAAACCTACATTAAAAATTATACCAACCAAGTTTTGTCAGCAAGAACATATATAGAACCAGAATTCATAGAAAAAGGATATAGAACCATCTTTTATCTTGAAAACGATTTCGTAAGAGCTTTTGGATTTTCAACACCATTGCTCAATCACATTGGTGTTGAAAATGTAAGTGAAATCGTAGTCAATTCTACGTTTAAAACCAATCAGGAGCGTTTTGAGCTCTTTGTCGTAAATTCCAATTGTGGTGGGTATGGTATGCCCTTAGCATACCTCTTTATTTTAACGTCTGACGGTACTGAATCAGCTCTTCATGATTCTCAAAATAAAGTTAATACAAGAACACAAGTGCTATATGAGTTTTTTAGTAATCTTCGGAAAATTGGACTAAATCCAATATTTGCACTTGTTGATAAAGATGCCGGTGAGATTGCAGCTATAAGCGAAGCGTGGTCTTGGATTATCAATATTCAGCTATGTTATTGGCACCTTGAACATGCAATAAACCGACGATTGAAAGATAAGAAATCAAGGGCAAGCGGATATAATAAAACAAAAGCTGCAAAGGTCCATCAGCAATTTAAATTTGTTGATCCAGACTGGGTACCGAATGCAAATGCTGGAGCCTTGTGTCCAGATGATTCAATTAAAGACTTGTTAGATATGATAAAAAGACATGCCAATATGCACCCTATCATACCAATAGCCAAGGATACATTTTATAGTTCTGCTGAAATTTATAGTAATTGTGTAAAGGAAGTCTACTCATTCTGCTATCATCATAAATTTGATAAGCTTTGGGGTTACTTATGGGCAAATTGGTATAAAAAGAAGGATTGGAAACTTTTTGCCCGGTCAGCATATCCTGCAGCCATACCGTTAGCACGAACTACTATGATCACAAAAAGCCATTGGAGGGTCTTGAAATATAATTACAAGTATAATTATAACCGACCACGGCTTGATCGCCTCACTCAAATTCTAGTAGAACAATTGATACCTAATTTTGAGCTCAAGCGGGATCAATTTAATGGTAACCGATCCTTTCCAGCATGGTGGGTTGGTTTCAAACGAGATTGGGACAAGGCTGTAATCGCAGATGTTCGATCTAATATGGACGAAACTTATCATGTTGATGTTAGTAACTGGATATGCTCATGTCCAGCATATTTACGCAGTCGTTACCTAATTTGCAAACACCTTGTGGCTAAAAAAAATAAATTTCGGCCTACTTTTGCAGAAACAACACGTCGACACGACTATCCTTTAATTGTTTTTGGAAAAAATAAGGTACCAACAATCAATCCGATAAATAATCCTTGGGTTAGATATGAAATGCCTATGGTGAATGATTCTGACGAAGGAAGTTTTAATACTGTTCAATCCCAAAGCATATTAATAACAGAGCATGGCGTTATAGAAGAAAGGCGAAACAAGCTTTCTGAATATAAAAAATAATAGACATAGCATTAACGTTATATGAACGAGAAATAGATAATACCAATTTCATAGATGCTTTTGACAACTTGATGAAGCCACTAATGAAAGAAATTAATGAATGCCGAGAAGCATTACAAACCCATAAGCAGCAGAAAACTTGAAATAAAAAAGGAAAACTTGTATTTTGGTTGCGCTAATTCATATTCAAGATAATAAATGTAAACCAAAAAATTAGCTTTACTAATACTCTTTATTTATCCTTATTACCAGTTAAAATTCGAAAATTAAGTAGTTAAAAAAGCTCTTCCCTTATATTTGATATCGATTTTCTAATCAATTTTTTCTTTTTAGCCATGCTTATTAATATTGTTCGATCTATTTGTATGTTGTAAATAGCAGTATCGCCTTTCCAAAAAGTTATTGCTGCGGTAATCGGTAGTACGAATTTCCGGAATTGCTAGAATTCCTAGAATTCGGAAAATTCAAAGAAAAGTAGAAAAAATTAGAATAGTGGGAAAAATCAGAAAAACGAGAAAAATTAGAAAAGCTAGAAAAATCAAAATTCGCGTTATTCTTGTCTATGTAAAAATTATTATATAAGTGGAGGTTCTCTCCAAAAATAAAAAATAACTTTGTGAAGTTCAATTTGAATAAAGTCCCCAGAAAACCTTCGATATACGAATAGAGTGTTTGTCTTTAACCCATTATACCCTCTTGTTAAAAATCGTTTGATGTTATAGTATTTTCTTGCCCCTGTGACTTTTGTACATCTATTGTCGTATTTAGTAAGGTAAGAAAGAGACATTGTATTAGTAATACAAGTTTATCGTTATATACTAAAATCGCCCCTGATTAAGTTTGTGATTACCATTGTTTGATCCTGTGATACCGTGACAGACCTTGTACCACATCAGATCGGATATGTCGGAAATCACATGACCCGACACTTCGTTTTCTGCACAGCTAGGGTACTATCAAATACAACTATGACATCATCACATACAAACATCAAAACAACCGTGGGAAAAAATCGCAATCACGTGCCCATACATGGCAATAACAACAACAACTCGACACAACAAAACA